GCAGTCACAGAAGTCAAACCTCACAGTGAAGGCAGTCACAGAAGTCAAACCTCACAGTGAAGGCAGTCACAGAAGTCAAGCCTCACAGTGAAGGCAGTCACAAAAGTCAAGCCTCACAGTGAAGGCAGTCACAGAAGTCAAACCTCACAGTGAAGGCAGTCACAGAAGTCTGACGTCAATTGGTGAACTTCACGCCCCCTGGCCCGTCATTTTCTGGGAGTTTTTTTGCGAGGGTAAAGTTGTTGCTGCGACTTCGGTCTTTGACGGCCGCCGCGTGATGAATCATCCAGACTGCCACCAAGATGGAGGATGAAAGCCACGTTGCCTCTACAGTTCACGAGGCTGAAATTCGCTATTCATTTTCATACGGGAAATTTAAAGCATTGCATATGTGAGGAGAATGGAAATAACGTTTAAATTACCCTCATAACGTGTCACTGAATACTTACTGATCAAGTTCACTAGACTTGCTGATCTTTTTGAGTTTTGGGATGTTTCTACAGAGTAGCTTAGCGACTTTAAACTCCGCGATAATCAATGAGACTGGTTCTTTAGATAACCATATTTTAAGGGGAGCGTCTACCCTAAAATTGAAAATTTTTACTTTTTCGGTTTTCATACTAATTTTAAAGCTGACATTCTGAATAGTGTTTTTGTGAGGTCTGACTCAGTGTGCCTCCGGGCTTTGTAGGGAGAGATGCGCATGTAGTTGCTCCCATCATCCTTGAGTGGAATCAAGCTCCAGAAACGTTTAGTTTGGTATCTATGCTACATTGAGCGCATATTGTGGTGCGCGCGGGACTTTGTCGCGCTCTCCTCAACATTCAGACTTATTGTCACGGAAAACTTATCTCCTCCTAGAGTTTTAAAGCTACAACAATGAGACATATACCATTCGATTTGCAAAGAATAGATCTACAGAACGACCTAGCCGTTTTTTCAATTTCGTCATAGTTTGGATTTTATTCCTGAAAAAGGGGGGGTGGAAAGGGGTAAAATCGATAAATTTCCGAAAACTTTACGAAAAATGCTCCAACACCCGCAAAAATTAGAAATTAAAAAAACGGCTAGGTCGTTTCATAGATAACAATTTTACGCATCGAATGATATGTGTCTCGATGTCGTAGCTTGAAAATCCTAGGAGGAGATAGATTTCAAAAGTACCCTCTTTTTTGACCGTTTTCTATGAATTTCACGTTTTCTTTCATTTTTTTCGAAAAATTCACATGAACAAAATGTAAGTTTTTTTCCATTTTACATATGTGTACCAAGTTTCAGAGTGATCCGTCTGTAAATAGCAGAGATAATTTTTGGGGTAGACGCTCCCCTTAAACAAATTAGAAATATTCAGTTATTGAACCGTTTGTTATTCATCTAGCAATCAAGAAAACAGTATACCCTTATTTGAAATGCTCACTGAGCTGAAAAACTCGTTCAATTTAAATCCGACTGATTTTACATATATGCAAAACTAAGAAAAACCAGAATAGCGGCATATACGAACACCTCAATGAAAAAGAAATCCCCAAAAGTTTTATCCCACTTCTTACTTTAGTATACTTCTAGATTCTCATTTATTACAGTCACATAAATCTCACAGCCAGCAAGGTGGATGAAGATTGGCTTAGTTTTGCGGCGCGCGTAGCTTCATTTATCGCCCACTGCCACCGCCTCGTACTTGCCATCAAGATCTTGAGCCCCGCCTCCAGCAGCCGCCGTGAAGGCTTTGCCTCTGCTCATCTTCCTCGACTCCAAATGTTGAACTTCGTGTCCACAGTCTTGCCGCGCAGTCTGACGCAGCACCGCAGACACGACGCGCTGCTCAGTCTGACGCAGCACCGCAGACACGACGCGCTGCTCAGTCTGACGCAGTCCCGCAGACACGACGTGCTGCTCAGTCTGACGCAGCACCGCAGACACGACGCGCTGCGCAGTCTGACGCAGTACCGCAGACACGACGCGCTGCTCAGTCTGACGCAGCACCGCAGACACGACGCGCTGCTCAGTCTGACGCAGCACCGCAGACACGACGCGCTGCTCAGTCTGACGCAGTACCNGTAGCGCAGGAGTAGGAGTAGCGCAGGAGTAGCGCAGGAGTAGGAGTAGCGCAGGAGTAGCGCAGGAGTAGGAGTAGCGCAGGAGTAGCGCAGGAGTAGGAGTAGCGCAGGAGTAGCGCAGGAGTAGGAGTAGCGCAGGAGTAGCGCAGGAGTAGGAGTAGCGCAGGAGTAGCGCAGGAGTAGGAGTAGCGCAGGAGTAGCGCAGGAGTAGGAGTAGCGCAGGAGTAGCACAGGAGTAGGAGCAGCGCAGGAGTAGGAGCAACGCAGGAGTAGGAGCAGCGCAGGAGTAAGAGTAGCGCAGGAGTAACGCAGGAGTAGGAGCAGCGCAGGAGTAGCGCAGGAGTAGCGCAAGACTAGGAGCAGCGCAGGAGTAGGAGCAGCGCAGGACTAGGAGCAGCGTAGGAGTAGGAGCAGCGCAGGAGCAGGAGCAGCGCAGGAGTAGGAATAGCGCAGGAGTAGGAGCAGCGCAGGAGTAGGAGGCAAAAAATCCCTCTAAAGAAGCCAAGGAGAAAGTTCAATTTTGTTCATTCTCTGTCGATAATAATAACTGTTATTGTGTTCCGGTATTATTCTGGAAGTGGTATTCCTTCCGGGACTATTTGCTAAGGTGTTCAAGGTGTTAGTTGCCAGTGAGGCAGATATGATAGTACATAGTAATGAAAACATGATTGGTATTACTTGCAATTCAAATTTTTTAAATCTTGATTAACTTATGTTGCTCCTCTCGATAAATCATGATTTTCCCGTAAAAACTTCCATCTTTCTACGATTGAATTTTTTTCGCATAAATTGGCACATATGATGTTATGGGACACAGTTTAATAGCGCTTTGTTACAGTTAGATGTTTGGATTTTTGGTTATATAAGTCACTCCGGACGTGACCTCGTTCATATAAGCACCGAAACTTGTTCATTGCTATATGATGACAACCCCACATCCTCAATAAACAAATAAACATATAATAATTGCTATATGATCCACCACGGAGGTACGCGTTACTTTATCATTTAGTCTTTTTATTTTTGTGATAATTTTCTGGTGCAATTCAGTGGTGGTGTTTAGAGGTGTTCATAATTATTGTCTATCAGTCTATTATTTATTTATCTTGTTTACGTAATATTTTGCTTTTGTTGCTCAAATATTGCTAGTTCTAAGTTTTCGCTTATTTCTTAATTTCAGAAAGGCTCCGAATCTTGAGACCGAAAGTAAGAACTAGAGCAAAGAGAACACACGGTTATATTCTTGTCTTTATTTGTATTTGTCATTTGTTTATTATAGTTTTTATTTATCGTTTTTGTTCATCCTTTTTCCCACTATACCCACGACAATAACGCCATTTAGGCATCAAATAGCAAGTTCTACGTATTATTTCATTCACTCATGAAAACGGTCGCCATGAAAGCCCTTGCCCTGTCATTCTGTCAACCGGACGAAAATCAGTGAATGCAGTTAGAGGCAAGCGTGATGGAACTCTAGATGCGATGGGCGGCTAAAATGCCGGGGAAAATCAAAGTTTTTCTTGATAAAGCTCGCCTGAAGTTTCCTTGGCTCACGTGCTGACTCATTTGCTGCTCTCTCGGCGATTTAATTTCACGCAACGGTTTTTTGCCACCTTACGCGACATTGATTGAGAGCCCCTCTTTAATATCGCCAAGTTTTCCCTGATCGCCTTCAGATCTCCGAGCAGTGAGCTCTCGGAAGGATTATACCATCCGTTACTTGAAGAAATAGCAATGTACACAGCGGAAAAATTTTGCTTCAAAGAAAAACATTTAAATCAGCCATGACTGTTCTATTGCTTCAAATACCGCTGGTTTAACGACTATCCTGCACTAAATGAAAAATCTATCGCTGTTAGGGAATAGTAACGATTTTATTCATTCATTGCACGGTAATCATATAAGGTAAGACTGTTCCATATAGTATAAAAATTTTGCGAACCTTATGTTCCTCATTTTCCGGGTTTAGATACCTATTGATTTAGAGTTAAGATAAGGGCTGGCGATGACGGTGATACTTTCAGAGGAATACTTGTGTGAAAACTCCGCGTGCGTATATGTGAACTGGAGCTCCATGTATGTTAAGACCGAAGTAAGTTACATGAATAAAGAGACACATATAATCCCTCAAAATCACTAAGAGAACTCGAAGGATAATTTCGTGTAGATAACTGGAATCGAATTCAAGATAGACAAATCTTCAGCGATTCAGCCCCACAGTGTAGAAGGAAAAACAAATTCTCGTATCATGTTTGTTGATGTTTCGTGTATAGATTTTTTTTCGCCGGAATTCGCCTTCTTTGATGATGCTTTGCGATGCTTGATATTGAATTAACTGATGAAGTTACCTTCGCTTCTTTACTAGATTTTCTCATTGGGACTCGTTGTTTTCTTGCGCATAATTTTAAGTAAATTTTAATTGAATGATCAAAATTCCTCCAAGTCACTCTGTTAATTTTCCTAGATATCAAGAGTACAGTTTGTCCAGTGGTTCCGGTAAGATTCAGGATTATGAAGATGGATTAATAATTTCTTCTTATCAATAGTTTTTGTTTGAACAAAGGAAGGTGCTCATTTCAACTTCTAAATCTGCATATTTATAAAACGTGCCACCTACAGAAAATGAAATCGTTCGATTCGTGAAAGTTATTTATAGAACGCTCAAGAAGTGCATACATCGAAGAAATATGTATTTTGTGATCAAAAGAAGAGTGCGTGTGGACCGAGATTGATAAAATCGAGGAAAATATTAACTTGTGATTGCAACCAATTATTTAGAGCATAAAATTCAATTTCGTCGGATTCGGTATACGTTTCTAAATTTATTTTTCTCTTAACTCAAATAATTCAAAGTGGGTAACGTTCAGTGGTCCGTTTTCGAGAGTGACAATTTCAATTATTCAATTAATTTGAAATACGAAGGGTATGAAACAGTATCTGGACAACAAATAAAAAAACATTTATTCATGAAACCATTCATACAAAATTCTCATCTGAATCGTCAACGACTACTCTATTTTGCTTCTTTTCCTTATCAGGGTAAACATGGAAGTACTTAGCATCGGCGAACCGAAGTCGGCTGCCCCCGATAGGTCTGCGCGCTTCTTGCCTTGGCAACGATCCTGTGAACGGCAAGTCGAAGCGACGATCCAGACCGCGATAACGGTTGAGTTCTTCTACATCAGGAGGCCGGTTTTTGCTGGGCCTTGGCAGAGACCTATAGGTAGGGTGGCTGCAGGCTGCTCTGCAAACACCATCAGCATTGCGCCCGACTCCAGCACTCACGCTCGGTGACTTTTTCATGATGGAAGTGAGCGGAGGAGGTGGAGGATGATAGGGAGATGAGTCGTCGTAACTCCTGGCATGTCTACGGTAGGCAGGCGAGTTGAAAACTCCGTGAGGAGGTCGTGAAGAGCCGTAGCCTGAGTCGCGACTCAGAGTGTTCGAGGAGCCAGACCGGAATGGAGGCACCAAGCCGTCGTTTGGGTGAGGACTTCGTTCCGAGTAGCGATCTTCGAAATTCCTGAGCGAGTCATGATAGGTTGTGTTTCGAACAGGCAATGGATACAAAGAAGTTTCCATTTCCGAGGTAGGTATTTTCATTGAGTCAGAGCACAGTCTTCGTCTCGCGTATGGCGAGAATTCTTCCCGCCTTGGCGATACCTCGTGCCGAGAAGGATCGCTGTGTCTTGGAGCCAGGTCGATCCTTGGGGAATACTCATGTCGAGGGGGCAAATCTTGACGAGGAGGGAGGTCTTGCCGCGGTGGTATATCATGTCGAGTTGGTATATCATGTCTAGGCGATATGTCATGCCGGGGTGATATATCATGTCGGAGAGGCATATCATGTCGGGGAGGTATATCAAGGCGAGGAGGCATTTCATGTCGGGGTAGTAAGTCATGTCGTGCTGGAATATCATGCCTAGGAGGAATGTCACGCCTGAGTGGGATGTCATGCCTGGGAGGTAAATCGTGTCGCCCTGTAAGGTCTACTCGAGGTGGCATATTATGCATATCGCTCATGTAATGTATATCCTCTGGCCGACGGTGTTGTGGCATGTCAGGTCTTCTCATGCCGAGGTCAGAATGCCTGGGAATGACGTCGCCATGCCTGCTGAAGCTATCACTTCTCCTCACTGGAGGATCAGCGCCTCGCAAGGTCAACTCCGAGGGGCTATACGGGGGAGATTCTAAGTCCCTCAGGAGCCCAATTTCGTTGCGTCTTGGTGACGGCAAGTTGCAGGTCTCCGCCACCGGAGGTTCTAAAAAGAGCACTTGTCTATTTGAGCTGCCACGCACAGGTTCTGCCCTTCCATTTTCCTTTATTATAGGCTGCCGTTTGCTGCCTCCCTGTCTGATGATTGGTTGTAAGGTGTTGCTCGTTTCATCGTACTTTCGTGGATCATTTCTTCCGATTTCTCGGCCAGGTCCGATAAGGTCGGAAATGCCGTCCACGTTTGGCGACTTCTTCTCCATGGACGACAAACTCTGAAGTAGGTTGAGGATGGAAATTAGAGCAGGTTCATTCGTATTGGTAGGAGACTAATTCTTTATTATGGAGCGACATCGAAAAAAACAACGATAAAAAATCAAAACAATTTTCCTTCATTCATTGAAAGTCCAGTTTAGCATATGTACACGCAATAGGTTTTACTCTCGTGTTTATTTCGCAACATACAGATGGCGATTGAACATAATTCCCGAATCTGATAAGAATCACAAGCCATTTTTCATAATATGTTTAGTACTCGTAACTTTCTTCAATGTAATTAATTTCTTGATATAATTGATCGTATCTTAAAACTGAGTAGCACTGTATTGTAGCAAAATACATAAAATTTTAAAAGACCAGTTCATTCTTTTCAGAATTTTCTGCTCCCTGAAAAGCTCTTCCAATTAAAACTTGCTTCATTTCCGGTGAAAGTTTCTAGTAGACCTTGTTGAGAATAACTTAACTTATTTTTCTTATAAGAGTTATGAAATACCATGCAAAGTTTCACCTGAGATTCGGAGCTGCGACTGCGGACAGTCGCGGCGGCGGTGGAAGGCGCCGGTTGGCCAGCTTCTTCCGGGATTGCGGCGCCTTTGATTTTGCGGACCGTGCAGCGGTGCTGCGACCGCCGCAGCCGCAGGCGGATGAGACATACTACGAGCAGCACGACGAACACGAGACCGAGGCCCCCACCACCGTACACCACCACAGAGAACCACTCGCTGTCCGCCAGTGTTTCGCCTACGCCTTGAAGTTATAACAAAAATCAAAGAAATTAGCAATCAGGACAGAGGAAGTTATAGAGCGCATTAGAGCCAATGAGAAGGTGAGGCATATATCTAAGAAGCAATGCTTCCATCATTTTGATTATTTTTTGTAACTGTTTACCAACATTTGCATCTAAAATTATTTATCACAAAGAAGTTTAAATCTATAACTTAATTGAATTACGATCTTCAGTTAACTTGGATAAAATGTAATGCAATTAAGCACCATCATAATGCTTTTCAGTTTTAAATCATAGTAAGCCTTTAAAGTTCGGCCATATATTATGATATTGTGGTAAACAAAACNACTACGAGCAGCACGACGAACACGAGACCGAGGCCTCCACCACCGTACACCACCACAGAGAACCACTCGCTGTCCGCCAGTGTTTCGCCAACGCCTTGAAATTATAACAAAAATCAAAGAAATTAGCAATCAGGACAGAGGAAGTTATAGAGCGCATTAGAGCCAATGAGAAGGTGAGGCATATATCTAAGAAGCAATGCTTCCATCATTTTGATTATTTTTTGTAACTGTTTACCAACATTTGCATCTAAAATTATTTATCACAAAGAAGTTTAAATCTATAACTTAATTGAATTACGATCTTCAGTTAACTTGGATAAAATGTAATGCAATTAAAGTGGCATGAGTGGCAAGAGTGGCATGAGTGGCATGAGTGGCACGAGTGCTTAAGCACAATCATAATGCTTTTCAGTTTTAAATCATAGTAAGCCTTTAAAGTTCGGCCATATATTATGATATTGTGGTAAACAAAACAATAATTTTCGCATTTGAGCCTCTCATTAATCTTTTGAAGCTAATCCCGAAATTACGTTTTCTTAGTTAAGTCCTATGATAAGACTCGAAATTCAATAATATCACTCGTTTGCTTGAATCGCTAATTCACTAAAAACCCCGAAGCAAATAAAACTCCACAAAAATTCATACTAGTATCTTCAAAGCCCCGATATTCAATATTATTTAATGCAAGCCCGTTGAAAATTCCTAATAGTTTCAAAAGAAGGCAGCGCAGTGGCCCACAAAACAGCCATACTAATTTTATTCTCGGCGGTCTGGACGCGCAGGCCTTCAACTTTCTTGAGAGGGCTGCTCTCGTACGCCGTGAACGCCGACACGAACACTTCGTACGCGAACCCAGGGTCCAGGTTACGCACCACGAATCTGTTCGAGACCAAAAAACGTATTTGAAAATTTTAATACCAGAAGTAGAATGAGATTTCAGGCGAACTAATTTATTTGAATTTTTTCTTAGCAATAAATCTTTCTACATAAAAAGTCTTGATTGTTCAGAGCACACAAGTGTAGAAGTGGATTAGTAAGGTTGCCATATCTGTTCGAAAATAACTGCCTTTTCCGTTGCAATGTAATAATTTCTACAGCGAAATTTTAAATGTAAATGTAAGGCTTGGTGAATATGGTCAGGAAAGAAGAAAGTAATCTACTTGGTATCGCTTTATTATTTCCGAATTCACATTTTGAATCTATAACTTTTTTTGTTTGCGTTGGAAAGGTTTTACTACACTAATTAATATCTGGAAAATTTAGTTTTAAGTATTCGCGCATCATAAGTCCCTTTCTACAAACCTGTAAACGCAAAACAGTCGATTGAAAAAGTTTATATGTTCATGTTCTATTCTTTTGAATTTATAGTAGTTTCATTAGTGCGAAAATGAAAGATTTGCCTTTCTTCCATAAAAATTTGCCTCCAAAAGTGCTTCGCTGAAAACATACTATCATGGGTAATAATTTTATTAACGAATGACTGCATAAAATAAATTTGCAGTTTGGCTCGTTTAAAATAAATGTTCACTATGCAAACATTATTCGCCATTATTTTCAAAACTAACAAATTAACTAAAGCACAATCATTTAAATTTACCGTCAATGCCTTCCTTAAAGCAGTATAGTTTCATTATAATATAATTAGCGTATTTATGACCCACCAATGATTATATTTAGACATAGAAATTATCAGCGTGAACGGCAAATGAGATTATAAATATTATCAATGGAACGAAATAAAAATCTAATTACAATTACCGCAGCCGACATCAAGACTAGTATACAAGCTTCGTACACATCAGTTATTTTTACAGTGTATGAGAATTAATTTGCAGCATCAACGCATAAAGATTCGAATTAAACACGAGATCAACGATACGAACTGCACCTGCCACGTCGGTTGACACGTTTTGTGTTCCAAAAAGTGAACAGTCCCAAAATTGTGAGGTCATAATTTCTGTAGATATTGCATTGTTTTTTATGCGTATAGTTGACACTTAAACCCTTGTTTTCCTGCTGTGCTAAGAAATATGCTTCCAAACGTCCAGGATTAACGGCAGAAAGTATTTGTTGGAGTCATAAAGGCGATCCATTCACAACTTCAAACATATTCTCTAGCTAAAAGAGTCAATAGACTTGCGCGTTCTATAAATATTTGCTAAGGGAATAAACCGTAGCTCAGGTCAGGGCTTAATTATGAAGGCGTGGGAGTGGGGCAGAAGGAAAATTAATGGATGTTTTCATATGGAAAATTACGTGAAGAAAAAGGCATCAAATTTATGTTTGATTTATAGACACAAATTACCAGAACAATTTTTCATTTGAATGGAAAAAATAGGGACCAAAAGCTACAAACATGAATTATTGTTAATAATTTTACTGGGATGGAAGTTTTAATAGAATATTTACAGCACGAAATATCACGGACGCAGTTAACGATCCCGCGTATCGAAAGAAAATCCTGAAATGCCGACCGTCAGCAGTTTACCTCCTCAAGCGAGCGGTAGTTTTACTCCAATTAAAATCATGCGTGGACTATCGAAGGCCACCGTATGGCTGACGGATAGCCGACTCTGAATCAACCCTGATTTTCAATAGTGTAACACAATGTCAATCTAGGGGCAGCTATTTGGAGCCAAGGTTGTGTTTGGCGGACAAAGCGAAGTCGCTCGATTCTACGTCGATCTGGAGCCCAATTATGGCCGACTTATAGCTTTTGAGTCACGTCATGTGAGGCGATGTGGTATGCCGAGGGATTTGGCAGCGGCCAAACCTTCGAGGATTCTTGCCATTTGAAGCGCCTGCGTGATATCGCGGATGTGACCTACAACTCTGTGACAGTACTATCGAAACTCACTACGTAAAATAAACATAGCCGTCTACGTACACATAGCGGTCTACGTACACATAGCGGTCTACGTACACGTAGCGGTCTACGTACACATAGCGGTCTACGTACACGCAGCGGCATGAGTATACTTAACGGTCAAGGATAGATATCGGACGATTCCTCGTATGTGAAAGGAGGGGTTTAGCTTGAGATGAAATCAGTTATTAGCGCACGGAAAAAACGAACTCGTAATTTTTATCATGGTTTTCGTTCTGACCTGGGTGAGGTGCTGCTGGAATTGAAGAAGACTTTGCCGGTCTCGGACTGGTAGACCTGAAGTCGAAAAGACTGCGGTAGGATGGAAGTGCCTGGGTCGCAGACCACCGTCACTGTGTTGTATGTGGAGCTCGAGAGCGTGCAGTTGACAGGCGCCTCTGGAGGGTCTGGCGAGGGGTGAACGGGAAAAAACCTCCCTGTTTTATTCTTCGTTCATCGATAACATTTCCTAATGTTATAAAAACATTCATATATTCCACTTGTTTTATATGCCTGTTCATGCATGTAGTTATCACTTAATTTGAGGCAAATTAAACTTAAAGCAACTATATGATTTTAAGTAAAATTAATTTTAAATTTAAATGCAGGAGTGTTCAATGAACGCTGGAAACATTATTAGACATTCTGAACTAAAGTATCGTCTTGGCATGTATTGTTTTATGTATAATCACTAGTAATTGCATGATCATGACAAAAATGTGAAAGAAAAAGACGAAAGAAGATATAAAATTCGAAAGAAAAAGAAGAAGTTTTATTGAAGTGAAGCATATACTGTATGTAGGAGGAGGCGTTCAAATTTTGAGACATGACAACAACTTGTATCGTCGAAATGGGATATCTTGTTCAAAGTTACGAATAAATATTAAATTTTTCATTGTGATTTTTCATGCAAAAAATTATTTACAGTGGGTTACAGCCATCTGTCTCTTTGTGTCATTAAATTTTTGATCCGAAAAATTACAAATATTACAGGATATGGAAATTCGAATAAAATAGTCGAATTGAAATTTATTCTAATTTTATTCGAATAAGCTGTGTCTCCCAAATAAACTGGGTGAACTTATTATTTTACTTTCATAAATTCCTGCAAAAATGCATCATTCGTGCTCGGATAGAAATTTAAATGCTACTTCAAACGCTCGAACTTCGTTAACGTGAAAAATAGTGCCACACTCGAGTGGAAAAAAAATCTTTTAAAGCACCTGGAAAAAATATATATAAGAATTTATGCCCAACATGCAAGCGTACTCTATGACACTCTACTCTAGTTCAATAACGCCATATATGTGCAGATATTGAGCAACATCAGTTGCACGGTCTCTCCATATACAGCTCGACTTGCTTGCGATGTCCGCAAAAGCTTCGCTCTGCTAGCTGTTGTTGATCAATATTGAACTTTATCTTTGGCTCTCATAGAATTCTATTGCAGAAACAATGTTCGTCTTGCGATAGTTTCTACAAAACGCCGAATTCGCGCAAGGAAAACCGAATTAAATTCTTATGCTTAAAGTTGGATGAAAAAATGATGGATAAAACTTGATCAAAAACGCAATAGGTGACAACAAGTACGATGAGTCTAGAGAAGTGAAACACTAGGAAATGATACTGACCTGCCAAAGAAACGTATTCAAAGTTTGTAAAAATTTGATCAGAATTCATTTGTTTCTATATTGACCAAATTCAGTGTTTTTATTTCCCCGACAATATTGATTTTGAATTTGGATTTGACGTAATTTTTTAATAGTAATGACATGTTGTTTTAGTTCAATCAGTTAATGTTCGCGACAAGCTGTATCCAGTTTATATCCGAGTCAGGCTTGATCTTTAATTTTCAGTTATTTTCCGTATTTCTTTTAATTATATTTTTTAGTTGTCTAGTAGAATTAGAGACGCTCTTGTAGCCAGAAAGGCTTGGCAGCTTATATTGGAATTCACTATAGGAACTTTTCCGCTAGTTTTTAATAATGATTTTAGAACTGTTTTCTTGTTATGCATTCCTAAGGAAAAAAACGTTTGAAAAGGTCACAAATAATTCCAGAATCAGAGTTCATATTACAACGCCGATCGGTAGAGCTGACATATAATTAATAGAATACTTCATGTATTTAGAAAATAAAAAAAAATGCTGCCACTAACACAATTCATTTGCCACTGCGAAACACGCATAAAAAATTTCCTATCGCTGGAGTAATTGGACAGCAGTAGTAATTTCGTTATTTATGTTCACTGAATAAATAGTTACGTAAGGCTTACGAAGAAAAAAAAAGTGTGGAATGAGTAAATTTCAAAGTTTTCTCAGCCAATTATTTCAAGAATCTTTCAAATACTTAGAAATAAATTCATTATTAGAATTCCGCACAAATATGTAGAAATAAATTCATGATTTGAATTCCGTTCATTCATGATTTAGATGCAATTTGCATTTATATTCATACATGAATTATGAATGGATCAATGTACTCACTGGGACGCCTGACTTGCACAATGCAGGGTTCTATCTGCTTGCCTACAGGGTTCTCAGCCCAGCACTCGAGCACCCCGAACTGCTGCCCTGGGGGCGGCATGGAGCTGTTGTCGCTCGGTACCGTGAACGTCGCCTCCGAATTTAATCCCTTTCATGACATATAAAATTAAAGGATCCTAGCAACATATATTCTGATATCATGCGGCTATATAGTTACAATTTACTGCACAAATCTTATTATCAACCGATGGAAGTAAAATGTAAATAGATTACGGATTTGTGCAAACTTTTAATACTGAAGGTTTCAAGATATCAGCAAATAAATAAATTCTCTAGTCTGATGCTATTTTGTAGCTTGCATGGGTTATACGTCAGCTGTCCTGCTTGAAAGACTTAGAATGTCATTCACTTAATGTTTTACAATTTGACAATAATATTATACCAAATTTAAAATTTTCATATATTTTTTAGAGTTTAAACCAATGACGTTTAACCTAAATATTTACTCACCCGAGACGTTATTTGCGAGGTGGGCACCCGCTTGGTGGCGGTGGGCGTCTTCCAGACCCACGAGAAGCTCATGGGCTTCGCTGGCCGCGCCTCGACGCCGCATGAGGCGCTCACCAGCATGCCGGGCTGCGCCCAAACAGGTGCTGATGACGCGCACACTGGCGAGTCTGTCCCGAGCGTCAACGTACAAAGTTAATAAGTCGGCGCTCACCAGCATGCCGGGCTGCGCCCAAACAGCCGCTGATGACGCGCACACTGGCGAGTCTGTCCCGAGCGTCAACGTACAAAGTTAATAAGTCATATCTGGCTCCTTATTTAGAGATGATTAAAGATGATCCTTTGGAGATGACTAAGATTCAAACATATAAATACTGCATAATTGGATCAGTTAGGAGTGCAGAATGGATCACCGTCTTTCAACGATGGTTTAACAAACACAATATGAAGATAAAAATGAGAATACAGAGAGGATCATTCACTTGAAGAGACAAATTTTTAGGCTGTGTATACTACGTTTTTGTTATTTAATTAGTATTAAAAGGAAATTTTATGATGAATAAATATACATATAAACTTATATAATAAATGAAATAAAAAATTATAAAATTCCCTTAATATTGAATAGGAATTTGGATAGGCCTTTACATAAATATTATGGGTGTAGAGCACAAAAACCATCTCATATACACCATTATTATTTACGGGTGTGTTTAGATCAAATGGGACCAGAAAATGGAAACGAATGCATGAAAATATTAACAGATGTTGCCGTATCTTCCTGCTCTATTAGGCAAGGAATATCTCACAGCTTTGAGCCAAACTTTCCCCGGAAGAAAAAGAATATCAGCATTTTTATCCATTTTAATGTATTTTTGGATGGATAAAATTATTCAGCAGTCAAGAATTTAGAAATATTTATCATTTAAATTAACCTTTCGGTAAATTAGGTCATGCCAAGGTCACTATTTTTGTAAATGCAACGAGAGTGCAACGAAATATCAGCTGAATAACTACCGAGTGAAAGCATTATCAAATTTCTCTTACTGTGCACCTCAGTTATGTTTTCGCTGAATTACAATATAAACAGCTTATATCCACAGTTTCGTTTGTAAATGTGAAGCAGTAATGCAAAGAGATCATGATTCGCAGTTGATAAAAAAACATACTAAGATGGCCGCCCCTACGCCATAAATGATTTCTATGTGTTGTCCTGTGATCCCATGCCTTGTACATGATTTATTATGTAGGCTCTGTCAAGGGAATGCTAACCGCAGGGATACCTGCAGGAGCTGCCTTAAAAGTAATTGATAATTAGTAGAAGCCCCGAGAGAAAACCATAATGAAATCGCAAAATAATGGTTAGAGAATTTTCGAGGAAAGTGCATTTAAATGTATGAATTATAATATCATGATGTTTACACAAATGAATTTGTAGTATCATTGCAGGATTGATTTTTGAACACACTCTGATATAATCAAAATCTCCAATGACGATTGGAATTCAATGAAGTGCGCAAAAATATGTTTCGAATTATATCGGGTGATTAACGAAGGTTAGAGTAACGGTGATTAACGGTGCCCGTGTACGATGCAGTTGGTGTCAGTAGTTCATGAACGGTTAAACAGAATGAAAAGCTAATTGTTTCCCTTCACACCCATCATCAAATTCATTAAGTTATTTTACTCACAAAGCACGGAGATATTGAGCTGAGCACTGCTACCAGTGCCGATGCTGTTGGTGGCGTTGCAGCTGTAGAGTCCAGCTTGTGCTCTGGTCACGGATCTCAGTACCAGATTCTGGCCGGATATCACAACGCTAGGTGATGATCCTTCTAAAACTGGGCGATCCTGTAGAAAACGAGTTTTATATGAAAAGTCTACAGTTGTTATTTCTTTATTTTTATGCAATACCTACAAGGAATCGCATTACTCTTGTGAAAATAAATGTTTTCTGATTGTGCAGGTCATATTTTCCTCCTAATTGATTTCCAATTTTAAACTCACACTACGAAAAATTAACACTCAAGATCCCGGCTCTTGGTTTATTAGAGTTCAGCATTCGCACGTTGAGCTACAACTAAATTCTCTCACAAAAAAGCAATATATTACATTCATAGCATTCTCGGAAAATTAATGTATTTATTTTTCATACAAGCGCCTCTCTCACTCACAAACTTTCATCTCGCAACACAATGACTTTTGCTCCCTTCCATTACAAACTTTTTCCCTCCTAACTCCCCACTGGAGCTCATACCTCGCTATACTCCACCACAGAAAGCCTCACGAAACCATTGTTCAAGGGAGCTTTATCCCTTCATTTTTAATATTCCTTGATAAAACAATTCCTTCCCGTTAAATCTGGCTTTATGAGCGCTCCATGCAACGAGGATTCAGTCGTAAGTAAACTCTACCAATTTTATAAGAAGTTTCTGCTCATTCATGTAAAATTGAATTCATCATTTATCACGAGATGCTACGGGAGAACAATTTGCTTATAAATTGTTTTAGGGACTTTAAAAAATTACATCATGATGAAGATTGTCAGCTACTTTAATTTGTGACAGTGAAGTGAATTTTATTCAAGCCACCTCAAAATTTTTTTGCATTAGATAATGGTTGAGCGGAAGATTAAGTAACGTTAATTGATTTATTTGGCTGAATAAATATGAAATGTAGTACACCATACATTTTTGACGTAAAATTGTCTATTAAGAGTTACAGCAGGATGGGGTTAAATTACGCTGCAGGTTACTATCAAAGCGACAAACTATTGTCGGTATGAAAATGTCCGAAAAATTAGAAAACGCGTTTGCCTTCAACTATTTGCAGTTTCTGAATTAATTAATTATTCGGAAATATGCAATAATATTAATTTCCTTTTGTAGTAAATTGCAAGGGATTATGATGATCAATTTACTTATTAAGGTGCATGCTTGCTTTAATACATTATACTTTACTTATTTCCTCAAATACATGATATGCTTATTAAAAAAAATTATTTTCATTTTTAATTTTCATTAGTGCTTGAAAAACAAATGGATAGTAATATTTTCATCAATCCAAGAATTTCGTCTCTCACGTAACAAAGCAACGGTGAAAGTTCGTACGGCACCTCATGCTGGAAGTGCAGGCGATGAGGTGGCGGGTTGGCGCTGTAGTGGCAGGTCAGGTACAGGTCTGTATGCTCCCGCACTTCAGTGCTCTTCAGCGATGTCCCCATCCTCAGCTCCACCTCAGGAGGGTCTGTGGTATACAAGATAAAAAAGATGCAGTTATAACAGGAAATTGTCAGCCATAACATAGAAAAAACACAGTTAATACTGAGAGAATTGAGTGTCATAAGATGAAAAAAGAGTTAAGCCAGAGAAAATTGTGAGCGAGTGAGCGAGTAGAAAATTAATGATGAGACGAAAGTGGCTCCGTCTTGCACAAGAGAGTACGATGGATTTAAAAAAATAATTAATCTTATCTTCACGATAGGAGATTTTCACCCAGATCCTTTAATTCTTTTGCAAACTTAATAGTATGAAAACAAACGGAACGAACATGAAACTTTGACTAAAAGAGACTGGAAATTTTGTATTTTCTGATTGCGTGTTGCTGAACCGGTATCTCATTCAAACTACAACTTCAAAACCGAAACTCATCCAATATGAAGTTTGTTGACGAACCGGTAACTCATACAAACTATAATTTTACAAACGAAACTCATCCAATATGAAGTTTGTTGATGAACCAGTAACTAAATCAAACTACAATTTTACAAACGAAACTCATCCACTATGAAGGTTGAAATGATAGATCTAGCTAAAACAATTTATTGCTATGCATGTGCGTAGCTAATTTGCTCTAATTTTTTAAACAATAATATCATAGTATATGTTGTTAGACTGTTTCTTTTGCAATGCTAAATAAAGAATGACAAATTGGCATGCGAGTATCTCGAATATTAACATTGCCACTGAAATAAAAAAATTTGTGGGGCAATGCTAAGCTAACTTTGAAAATTGCCCTTCGTAAAAAGTGTCTAATTACTGTAAAACCATGCTAATATCTTTAGTATGTAACTTACAAAGAAATATATGCTAACTATAGTTTATATGGTTAAGAAGATATACATGTAAATATTTTTTCTTTGTTCGTCTTCTTGTCTGGTCATAAATTACCATTCTCAAAACTCGCATAAGTCATTAAACTTGAGTCCTGAAAGTGGGGATTAGGGAAACTTGAAGGATTAAACACTGTAAAGTTTGGGCTTTACGCTGGATGTGGACCTGCCTAGGATAGATGTTTGGGCTCAGCTAATTGGACACGATAACTTCAGATGACTTAAAAATAACGGCCGAGGCGTTCCTTCAGCAATTACGTCGCGGCGCAGGCTGGAATAATGACTTTTTACCTGCGCCCGCAGATTTTAAAAAAAATAGTGCAATAAGTCTTTTGAGGAAAGTAACTTTACGTTAACGATAATTTACAGACATCTGAGTACTGATAATTATGATAATGTTATTGTTTTTTGGATAGTTTGTCAAGTCAAATTAGAAAACATTCAGTGTAAGCAGTTTTAGTTTGCAAATCGCTCTAAAAATTTTCCTTCTGCACACGTACTTAAACAAGTGGAATTTATAAATCGGTATATATTTATCGTATCATATATTGATATAACTGCCTATTCACAATTGTTTAAGATGAATTGCATAGTCATATCCGTATGGCTTGTGAATCTAAAAAATAAAACTGATTTAGTATCTTGAAGTCCAGCGTGTTGAGTTCATCACTTCAGATAATCAAACAATCGTCGTCAGAAATCTATCATTATGAAAAACCTCGATTCTTATTAACGCAATCCCTTCAAGAAATATAAAAAGTTTCATATTTCTGAATTTCTTAATGTGACACGTCACACAAACTTTTCAAGATGAAGCTTCAAAAAATGAGTAAATAATGTCTACCAATGTTTATTTGCGGCATCCCAATATTACCAAGCCTTCATATACAAATTGCATTGCCGACTTCTAACGCCGCTGCAGACAAAGGGTTAATCAATTATATTGCAAGCAAAGCGTTAGCTTCTTTTATCATGTGGTTGTGTTGCTCGCCACTATAATCCCCGTGTTCAAGCACCTTAAGCGTACATGCCTAATCTACTAGTACAAGTCTCACATGCCTATCTACTACTACAAGTCTCACATGCCTATCTACTACTACAAGTCTCACATGCCTAATCTACTCCTACAAGTCTCACACGTGACGTTAAGTTTGGTGTCGTCCTGCATATCAAAGTCGGGCATGGCGGGGTTGAGGGCGCGGCAGACGACGCGCGCCTCGTGGTCCTGACGACGCACGGGGAACCGCAGGCGAGACTCCACCCCCACCTCCGTCAACCCGGGCTTCTGCTGCACCCGGAAATAAAATATATTTATTTATTAAATAATACAATTCCTTTATTATCTAACTTCTTGTTCTTATTTGTCTTATACATCAGAGAATATTTTTTGTTTTTCCTAGCATTTTTCTCTGCAATGGAAGTAAATACAATTTCACTAAAATGACCAAATAACTAAATTACAACACTTCGTGAAATGTGTGTTGAAATCAATTTAGTACGGATCTGAAATTAGGATTGCAGGAAATGTAACGTTCACTGGAGTTTGGCTCATCAGCTTACTTCGAGGCTGCATAATTCAGCGATCACCCAAACAACTGCTATAAACTAATCTCAATTCAATTTTCTATCTGGCCCCAGCAGCTATTTCCCTCCTTTTAGAACACTAATTTCTAGAGCCTCCAACTATCGTAATATCTTTGTCAGTTTAGAATTTCTTCCCTCCGTGTTTGTTGGCAATTGATTATGTACAGATTTTTATCAGTGGGGTGATCGTTATCATTGAATGCCGATGCCGGGGCTGTCTCTCGCAGTATCGGTTATTGAGCGAAGACTCCTTCCTCCTTGACCATTGCCGCCCCCCAGCCCCTGACCCTTTTGAGCTCTACACTAGAATATTTCTTCATTGCACTAACCCCTATATCATTGCACTAACCCCTATATCATTGCACTAACCCCTATATCATTGCACTAGCCCCTATATCATTGCACTATCGCCTATATCATTGCACTAGCCTCTATATCATTGCACTAACCCCTATATCATCGCACTAGCCCCTATATCATTGCACTATCCCCTATATCATTGTACTAGCCCCTATATCACTGCATTAGCCCCTATATCATTGCACTAGCCTCTATATCATTGCACTAACCCCTATATCATCGCACTAGCCCCTATATCATTGCACTAGCCCCTATATCATTGCACTAGCCCCTATATCATTGCACTACCCCCTATATCATTGCACTAGCCCCTATGTCATTGCGCTTGCCCCTATATCATTGCACTAGCCCCTATATCATTGCACTAGCCCCTATATCATTGCACTAGCCCCTATGTCATTGCGCTTGCCCCTATATCATTGCACTAGCCCCTATATCATTGCACTAGCCCCTATGTCATTGCGCTTGCCCCTATATCATTGCACTAGCCCCTATGTCATTGCATGCCCCTATATAATTGCAATAGCCCCTATATCATTGCATTAGCCCCTATATCATTGCATTAGCCCCTATATTATTGCACTAGCCCCTATATAAGAGCATTAGCCACTATATCAATGCACTAGCCCCTATTTATTGCATTAGTCCCTATATCATTGCACTAGCCCCTAAATCATTGCACTAGCTCCTATATCATTGCACTAGCCCCTATATCATTGCATTAGCCCCTATATTATTGCATTAGCCCCTATATCATTCCAATAGCCCCTATATCATTGCACTAGCCCCTATATCAGTGCACTAGCCCCTATATCATTGCCCTAGCCCTTATATCATTGCACTAGCCCCTATATTGTTGCACTAGCCCCTATATCATTGCACTAGCCCCTATATCATTGCACTATCCCCTATATCATTGCACTAGCCCCCATATCATTGCACTAGCCCCTATATCATTGCACTAGCCCCTATATCATTGCACTAGCCCCTATAGCATTGCACAAGCCCCTATAGCATTGCACTAGCACCTATATCATTGCAGTAGCCCCTATATAGCATTGCACTAGCCCCTATAGCATTGCACTAGCACCTATATCATTGCACTAGATAGCCCATATAACATCGCACTGGCCCTATATCATTGCACTAGCCCCTTTATCATTGCACTAGCCCTATATCATTGCACTAGCTCTATATATTATTTCACTAGCTCCTATATCATTGCACTAGCTCCTATATCATTAATGTTACTCTACTAGTCATTAAGCGTTGGAACAACGTTAATTAAACGTAATTTGAACGAAAAAAAACCATAATCAACGTTGCTTTAACGTAATTTACCTGGAGTGTCACCGCGTATTATGTGCATGTGTAGCAGCGTCGTTATTGAAATATCAGAATTTGATAGTGAAGACCACGAACGTTTCTGCATAGATAATAATTTTGTTTCATTTACTGAAAACGCTTCTCGTGATTAAATTGATTAAATTATATACGGTCATTGAGGTTGATGGTTGAACATTAATATTCATATATTCGAGATTTAGTATTTCCAGCTGATAATTTAGCTCACGATTTCATACAAATTTCTGATGTATAAAGCAGATGTATTAACTAGCAGCAATAACTTCCACGTATTTTTCGAGGCGATCTAACTCATAAATGTGTTATGATATTATTATCAGGCGATGTGACACAGTCCACGTATTTTTCTAGGCGATACGACACATTTGCATCTTCGCACTGAAGGCCGTCAAATAAAGTTGTGAGGATTAAAAATAAGGGAAATATGTGACGGCAGTCAGAATGTAACCTGCCCTCACACAACTACGCATTTAAAGCGAAAAATTATTAATTGTTTTAATTTCTATTTACTGATGGTGTGCAGCAGACAAGACTGAGCGCATGTATATTAAAAATTTATTTGGGCATATATTTTGGTTAAATTTATCAGTACAGTAATGCTTCGGTTAAAATTAGTATTAAATATCCCAAATTGATTTTCCATCTAAATCTCCCATGAATTCCTTACCGACTATAAACTATAATTCATTGCTCAATGTATGCTCGTAAACATCGAACATCTTCTCTAACAATTAGCGATGAATCATAATTATCTGCAAGCATCCAGCAGGTGCTGCTAGCATCAAAGATATTTTCTTGCTGTAATGCAGCTGTTGCTTATGTATCACTCCTGGGGATAACATTCCCTCGAGAAGGAGCGACTTTGTGTTATTTACGTTAATTGTTATTATCTATGTTGAAGATTTCAACAAGGTTGCTCTTTTTCGTTTGCCATAAAGAAAAAAGAACTGAAAAAAATGATAGCAAACATTTGCTGTTTTACAGTGTAATCTAAATCCATACAACGATACTATACAGAACCAAATAGGTAGAACTCTATTCGTGTGTAGCATGTTTTCCTCTCCTGAGTTTGTTCAAAAGCCATCAGGACTCCAGTGCGCCGTTCAAGAGCGGTTATATTGAATCGCAATCCGGGCGGCGGCTCGTTCCCATCCACGTCGTAACGGACCCGTTAGACGACCGTTATTCCATGGAATGAAATCGAGAGGCTCAGTGCGAGGATTTCATGAGCGACGGAAGGGTTGCCTCCAATATTTATTAGGTCTCCAAGTAATTGAATGTGGTCGTAAATTTAACGAACGAGATCAGCAGAAATCCAATTGCCGTCGCTAAGGGATCAGTTCCGCAGTAAATTATTTGATAAATTAAAACATATTTAAATGAATGGTATAAGATATTAATCGGTGTTCAAAATGAATATCTGACAATGGAATGGAAGAAACAAACAAATTTAGTTAATAAGATCCGAATACTGATTCGAAAAGTGATATTTTTTCATACTGGCAGACCAAAAAAGTTAATTTGGAAGATTTTTAGACGAATTTTAGTGTATTATTTTGCGTACTGAAAGTTTGAATATGTTTTTGACGGTGCGAAAATCTCTGAAAATAATTGTTGATTTTACAGGTAATCTCTTCGAAAAATTATATAAATTTAAAACCTAAGTTCACTTTAGTAATAAAATATGATTTTGAAGCAAAATTTGCAGACGGATATCATTTTAGTCATACAAGCGATCGCCCTGCAGCGCCTGTTCAGGTCGGAGCCGCAGCTAGTCTGCTAAGCTTGCTGCTTGTTGACTTTCAGTCCTCGTCTAGAATATCGAGTAAATAAAAGCTCAGCTCTGAAGCCGCGCATTCAATGGCGCTGCTTTTTGGTCGAGAAAGTGATTTCCATTCACCACGGCTGCTGTTATTAGTCCTTGAATATGAGTCTGGTAAGTAACGCGGGAAAACTCTTAAATGGAATCGCGAGCATTTTCAAAAGACCGTAAATTATTAAAAAATAACCTGGCGAATGCCATGTTATCAACGGGTTTCTAGCGAAAATAAAACAGATTCTGTTTTTATATTAGGTTTTCATGAATAAGTTTATGAGCGTATATTCTGTACAACCTAGAATGTTAAATGCTTGCGATCTTTGTAAAAAAAAACACGCCAATGAAGATTGAACGTGCACATGCACATTGATTAATTCTTGTAACAAAATTTCGTTGTTCATTTTTATTCTTGCTCCGTGCGAAAACTGAACTTAGATATTTAGCAATCAAAATTGATTTAAAATAAAATCTATAATCCTCGAATTGGATGATAAATTTGCAACCGCCACCAGATCAATTTCGCTAAAATATCTCTCAGGTATACTTGAGAATATCGTTTTCCTAAAGGTATAACTTCTCGAATATTTTTTTTCCAATATAAAATCTCCTGATATAATAAAATAAAATGTAAATTTCCAGATACTAAAATTAATTACATAATTATCGTCGCCTACAAAGCAAATTAATGTCTCAGTAGCGTAGCTCAACTGACCGCTGGTTCGTCAGTCTGCACGTCGCGACCGCCGACCTTCCACGTGATGATGGGCGGGGGCCTCGACCCCCGCACCTTGCAGGTCAGGTCCACGTGTTGGCCAGCGGGCACCCCGCGCCCCGAGGGACCAACGATGTCCACGGACTGGGGCTTCACTGTCACAAGGAGGATACATGGCTTTGTGATTTAATATATATGCATATGAAGCACTTCATATATGCATATGAAGCCGCATAAAAGTTATTATTGAAATGCCTACAATGGCTGTACTCGTAAATTGTAGTACATATATATGTTCGGGGAATATTCTAGTTTATTTCATTTCAAATAACTGCTAAACAAAAGAAGACTAAACAGCATATGTTTAGTCTTGATATGCCTCGTATCTTACGGAACAACTGAAATTTAGAACCGATTTTAAATCTGCCGTAGTTGAAAAGATTTGATTAAAAGGCCAGTCTAGCCAAGAAAAGTACCAGAATCGGCGGCAGGAAATTTTCAAACAATGAAAGAATTTATATATGCAGTATGTAAACACGGCAGAATTTAAGCATTAAGATTTTGATTCATTCACCTGCTAAAAATAATTGTTAAGATAGAATACTTTTTCAAATTTTAGCACAAATCAATAAATTTTACTCGTGTGGCTTCTCACAAAGTAGATGCGTAATATATAAATTACTATAAATGTACAGTGCAGTACATCACTCACAGTACAGATGCAGTACAGTACATCATTCACAGTACAGATGCAGTACAGTACATCACTCACAGTACAGATACAGTACAGTACATCATTCACAGCACAGATACAGTACAGTACATCACTCACAGAACAGATGCAGTACTGCACTTCACTCGCAATACATATGCAGTACATCACTCGCGGTACAGATGCAGTACTGTACATTACTCACAGTACAGATGCAGTTCAGTACTCATAGTACAGATGCAGTAGAGTACTCACAGTACAGATGCAGTAGAGTACTCACAGTACAGATGCAGAAGATTCTGTTTTTATATTAGGTTTTCATGAATAAGTTTATGAGCGTATATTCTGTACAACCTAGAATGTTAAATGCTTGCGATCTTTGTAAAAAATAAGCCAATGAAGGTTGAACGTGCACATACACATTGATTAATTATTATAACAATATAACATTCTTATTTTCCATTCCTGCTCCGTGCGAAAACTGAACTTAAATATATAACCATCGAAATTGATTTAGAAAAACATCTATCATCCTCGAATTGGAAGATGAACTTGCAACCGCCACGAGTGCAGTTTCGAAAAAAATATCTTTCACGTATACCTGAGAATTTCGTTTTCCAAAAAAAATAAATTCTCGAATATTTCCTATACGAATATAAAATCTCCAGATTTTGAAGAAAATTTTACACCAATATAAATTTTTCTAATAAATAAATAATGACTTTGTAGAAGCTAGTTTACTAAAATTTCCGGTTTTTTGAGCTCACATTGTAATGGTATAGACTCCAGTTATAGAGGTTTCGTTGAAAACCAGAGAGTATTTCTTATTGACAATTTTCTTATTATTTTTCTCGATTCGGCGAATTATAATAATTTATAATTAATGGCATGTTTTAGTTCTTGTAGATTTCTGGGACGATGTTTGTACACTTCAATTTATAATTTATTTAATTTATAATTTATTAAATTCGGCGAATTAATTTTTAATTCGCCGAATCGAGAAAAATAATAAGAAAATTGTCAATAAGAAATACTCTCTGGTCTTCAACGAAACCTGCATTAAAGAACAGCTTCTGCCAAACTACACTAATACTCCAGTTATAGGGAATATTTATTAATCGAAATTGTTAAAGTAAAAAAAATTATTAGGATTTTTTTTGTAATACTCAATTATTCAGATTTTTTTATTCATAGCAAATTGTTTAATTCAGGATTATCACGCTCATATTTTGTAGGTGAACTTTACGTTTTGTGGGGTTCTGCACCTGTGTGCGATAGTTCTGGCATCGTTTATAGTTTTTTTCAAAAAAGGAGATAAACGAGCGGGAGAAGTCAGATTGCACCGAAGAGTCAGTGACAGAGGAGACTATCAGTCGTAAGAGGTCGCAAGAGATTCCAGGCTTAGTTATCACAATTTCGTCTAAACGATTAAGCTCGTATAAAGCCGGGTGAACGTGACAAGTCTCCAACCAATGTATTTGTGTCTACGTAACCCCGCCATTGTGATCGTGGTACTTTTGACCCAAGTTTTGCCCGCTGATCAAAGATACCTTAGCGTCATCGTGGTGACTTGTCAGTGAACTATAAGTGTTTTTTGTGATTTCTTCGGTGCTGTGCAATATCCTAGCGAAGAAAGATTTTCTGATCACCATTTGGTCTGGAACTAGCAGTGCAACCTCGATCAACAACCTTGATCATTACTGTTCACCGGCTGAACCCATCCACCCAATCATCATCTATTGTTATTATTTATCTGCCTGGCTATCAATTTAAAATGTTCTTTAATGACATTCGCGGACCAGTTAAAAATCCTACAGAAGGTTAAGCTTAGAAACAGATATTCCTGACAGTGCCGGACTCTTCAACCAGTGACGTCATCGAGACGCAACCGCTGCGTCATATGGGTACGGCTTCTAATGATAGTTGTCCCTGGCAGTGTCAAGCTCTTTTGTAAAGTTTACAGTTTATAATATAGGTTAATGGATTAATAATTGACCTGTTCAGAAATGATTCCTGTTAATTAAGAATAATTTGTTTTTTTGCCAATTTTTTCCATTAAGATATTAATATCAGATTCTTTCATTGTGCACATCAGACGCCTTACTAGTCGATTAAAACGCAATGTACAGTAGACTTTCGATCGCAGTCAGTACATGTTAGTGGTTCCCCGCTACAACACACAAACATTAATCTCTCGTGCAGTTAGCAATTACTGTGTTACGCCCAATTACTTTCTCATTGGCTTTCTGGGTAAATTTTACAGGAACTTCATTTTCCCTCCGCTAAATAATTAGTCTTGCGCGCTTTTAACTACTTCCTCATCAGCTTACTGAATCCATTTTACTCAAATTTCAACTTTTCTCTCAATTAATAATTACTTTGTAGCAGCTATCTATTACTTCCTCATCAACTGTTTTTGTAAATTTTTCCGCAACTTTAATTTACCTATAAATTAATTATCACGTTTAGGCGCTGAACCATATTCTCTTCGCCTACAAAGTAAATTAATGTCTCAGTAGCGTAGCTCAACTGACCGCTGGTTCGTCAGTCTGCACGTCGCGACCGCCGACCTTCCACGTGATGATGGGCGGGGGCCTCGACCCCCGCACCTTGCAGGTCAGGTCCACGTGTTGGCCAGCGGGCACCCCGCGCCCCGAGGGACCAACGATGTCCACGGACTGGGGCTTCACTGTCACAAGGAGGATACATGGCGTTGTGAGTTAACATATATAAATACGTATAGAACCGCATAAAAGTTATGTTTGAAATACCTACAATGGCAGTACTCGTAAGTAGTAGTACATTTATATATTCTGGGAATATTGTAGTTTTGCACACTTATTTTGCAATTTAATTAGACCTTAAAATTTTCTAACAATGAAAGAGCTTTCATTCACTTTCTAAATAAATGATTAAGTTAGGAATTTTTTTTTACAATTTAATTTTTACGCCAATCAATTTACTTTACTCGTTTGGCTTCACACAAGTATAAATTACTATACATGTACAGTAAAGTACATGACTCACAGTACCTGTATGCACAGTACATCATTCAGAGTACAGATGCAGTCCAGTACACCACTTGCAGTACAGATGCAGCACAGTACAGATGCAGTACAGTACATCACTCAAAGTACAAATGCAGTACAGTACACCACTCACAGTACAGATGCAGTACAGTACTCACAGTACATATCAATGGTGACGGTGGCAGAGGTAACAGAGACGGGTGACGATGAAGCTCTACAAGAGACCATGGCGTGGTTGTGGGAGCGCGTCACAGGCGAGATGACGAGGCTGTTGCTGAGCAGGTTGGGGGCAACCTCCTGGTACACGTCATCCACCATCGCATCCCTCAACCACCACGACACTTTGGGACGAGGCTCGCCTGTCCATCACATTTGGGGGATTATTTAGTTGTTTTTGAGGTGGCAAGATGAATCTCATCTTCGGGTAGATATTATCTACCTCTTCGCATCACACCGTCGGGTTTATGTTATCTACCTCTTCGCATCTCACCTTCGGGTTTATGTTATCTACCTTGTTATCTACCTCTTCGCATCACACCTTCTGGTACAGGGTCCTCCAAAAAAACATCCCTGATTTCAATAGGCGTTTTCAAAAATTATACGACACATACAAAACAATTAATCTTATTTGTGAATAGCTTATTTGATGCCATTTTACATCGCTTAGTGCACTTTACTTGGTTTTGAAAATTATGTTCGATATATGATGTCCCCATTGTTAAGACATTCACGAAGTCTTTCCCTGAAGTTGCCCATAGTTCTTCGTGTAACTTCCCTTGTCACTTCCTGCCTAATGGCATGTTTTAGTTCTTGCAGATTTCTGGGACGACGTTTGTACACTTCAGCCTTTAGGTAGCCCCACAGAAAGAGTCACACTGCTCACACTGCTCGCCGGTCCATGAAAATGTTAAGAGAGTTGTTCGTTGGACGTCTTGCTTCTTTAAGAGGAGACATTTCCTTACCCCCACGGTCACCCGACCTAGCACCTTGTGATTTCTTTCTGTGGGGCTACCTAAAGGCTGAAGTGTACAAACATCGTCCCAGAAATCTACAAGAACTAAAACATGCCATTAGGCAGGAAGTGACAGCCATTCCTAGGGAAGTTACACGAAGAACTATGGGCAACTTCAGGGAAAGACTTCGTGAATGTCTTAACAATGGGCGACATCATTTATCGAACATAATTTCCAAAACCAAGTAAAGTGCACTAAGCGATGTAAAATGGCATCAAATAAGCTATTCACAAATAAAATTAATTGTTTTGTATGTGTCGTATAATTTTTGCAAAAGCCTATTGAAATCAGGGAGGTTTTTTTGGAGGACCCTGTAGATGTTATCTACCTCTTCGCATCACACCTTTGGGTTTATGTTATCTACCTTGTTATCTACCTCTTCGCATCACACCTTCGTGTTTATGTTATCTACCTCTTCACATCTCACCTTCTGGTATATGTTATCTACCTCTTCGCATCACAGCATGTCTTCAACAAAACAATGAAGCATGTGTTCAAAGTCTAATGTTATCATTGTTTTGTATTTAATGATCATAAAGGCATGAGTATTTCGGTCTCTGATGGTACGTATTAGTACTTTTCTGTGTTGCAGAGTAAAATGGATGCGATATTAAAATTATGGAACGTTATTTGCATATTAATATAAATATTTGATAACTTATGCTAAGCAATTACAACTCGAAATGAGATAACATTCGATTAAACCCAGTATTGAATCACCTTGTAACGTAATGGAAATGATTTAGTGTAGTATATAGTTATGTAATTGCGCCAGCGTTGAAGATTAGACCATGCAGTCGGTGTGGTGACGATTCTAGATATCGCAGAATTTACACAGCTATTTACGAGAGGAGAGTCTCGAACCTACAACTCATTGCTCCCATCTTGCTGTTCTTAACCACCCGACTACTCAGATTTAAACCTTAATTCTCACAAATAGCTTCAGGTTTCGATTCCTGCTTCATTTTTGGTGATCTTAAACATCCGTCGCAGAACAAAGGCCAAGTAATTTATTTTAATCCCAAGTTAAGGATTTCCGAGAAATTTAAAGGAAATTTGTAACGCAATTTTTTTAACATACCAAAAACCATTTAGAAAAAAGCATCATTGTCATTCTGAATTTACGACTGACATACGTCAACTTTACCTCGCAATTTAGGAGATTTTTGTCTGAAAGATTTATCAACTTTTTGGGATGACACGGAAAACCCCAAATCCCCCAAAATAAACAGAATGGCTGAACCAATTCTCTCAATAATGGAGCTCAAAGTTGGAAATCAATTGCAGGAAAAAGTTAACGCTTGCCGTGACTGCTCAGATAATTGCAGAGCAGAACATAAAAACTAATCGCGAACTAAAAACTAATCAAAAAAGTCAACAAGAACTTCATAACTAAACTTTCACGATCGGTCTTGGAATTGGAGCTTTTACGATGAAGGGATGACCGACAAAAAATTATATTAGCGAGAAAAAAGTTCAGTGCTGCATGCGTGATACCCGAGAGATACACGCGCCCGTATAACACATGATCTGCAAGCTATTTAAAACTAATAATTTTGCTCAAGTAATTTAAAACATAGTAATTTTTTGAGCAAAACTGCAGAATAGAAAAAATCAATTTAAATTTAAAACTGGATATTTATTTTGAGCAATACTGCAGAATAGAAAGAAATCAATTTTAAATTAGCACCGATTACTTGCTATCCATCTTTCCAAAAAGTTATTCATTAATAAAAAACAGCATGAAAGCTTAGATTTAAAAAAAATATTGAACCTTTTTTATCTAGTTGAAACTATGAAAATTTTGAGCTGACAGAAATTCAAAGCAAATACGATTATTTAAATATATATTTTATATAGTATTTACTTATTTATTTAAATATTTAGAGCGTATACGTTGTCGTCGATAACGAACGATGTTGTTCTCGCGACATATTCTTTCCATTAGCCGACACCGACCAGGCGTGTCGGCAAATGTTCAATTGATGGCATCGGAAACCGTTCAAGTTTCGTCAAACATTTAGAAATTAAATTGATTGCTGAGGGACTTTGGTGGCCAGAAAAGAATTGAATTCCAAGCGCCAGCTCCCCGTCGGTTGATGGTCATAGTGAATACTGACCGGCGAAAATAAAGGGAGGAATCAAACGGAAATGCAAATGAACATTTCATAATGAATATTGTTGATAGATATTTCAACGTGGATGGTAGTAGTGAATATTTCAACGTGGATGTTGTTAATGAATATTTTAACGTGGATGTTGGTAGTGAATATATCAACAGAATATTGCAAGTCAATATTTTAGCATTTCACGAGAGCGTAAGCCTATTTTATTTTCTGTAGCGAAGATTGATAAACTTGAATGCAAGGAGCTCTGAATTAAGCAAGCTCTGCTATTGAAGAAAAGCTCTGTTATTGCAGTCAAGCGATGTAATTGGAATGGAGCTGAAACATGAAAATGCAGCAGCAATCCACTTTAAATTATGACAACCAACGCCTGAAACTTCTTAGTATAACCACAAGCATTCGCCATTTTTTCCAGTTAAATTTAATCATAAATCACATGTAGCTAGATTATGGCGCTTTTTTTGCAAATTCTCATTTATGTCTCAACAATATATACACAATACGTCAACGTATCAACAACCCGTCAACATTATTCCAACAAAATATCAGAAACATTTCATACACACGCATTTGGCAAACGTATGCACGCATTTTCGTGCCAGCCACATGATAGGTTGACTGTTGTTGTAATTGCCCATCCTGGTAATGGCGACTATAGGGAAGGGAAGAACTAGCCTTCAATGGGACTCGAACCCGGGAGCTAAGTGCGAGAGACAGAGTCTCTCACCACTGCACCACCACAGCTCCTTGATAGGTTGACTCACCGCCCTTAGCGAGGCACGTAAGGTTCAGGGTGCCGCCCTCGGGTATGGGCGCCGTTTTGGGCGGCACGGGCTGCCCCAGGGCGTCCGAGATGACGACGCTCTCGACTGGCGTGATGGCCGTGAGCTCCGCGACCCGCGTTGTCGACTGCGCGTTCAGGAAGTCCACGCGGCAAGTGTAGCGGCCGGCGTCGCCCGCCTGCAGGCTGTAAACGAATCAAGAGAGAATATTAATATATATTGAAAGGTCTCATCAAAATCGAGGGGAAATATTTAAGAAATCTAGAGGACTGTAAATGGAATAGAAAGGGAATATTAAACACACTATAGAGTGATGTCGGACAACATTGAGTACGCGTTCCAGTGGTACACGCGGCAGGCTGAATGAGAAAGGAGATACCGAAATCTAAGGGGAGTATTAATTCATGATAAATCGAACAATATCGCGACTAGAAGAAATATACATAGAAAATATGCAAACAAATTTTTATCATTCATATTTAATTAATAAATGTACTTAATAAATAAACTGTTCATCTATCTTACAGCCAGATATTTATCGAATATACGTAAGAATTATATTTACGAATAACATCACATAATAATAATTTCATAAAATACTTCCAAACATTAGACCACATTCATCAACTTCAATTCAAATAAACACCATTTATTTCCATCTTAACCAAAATTATTGTCCCTTTTCAGAGTTTAAATATATCAGTGCTATTTTGGACTAATGCCTTCCGAACGCTTTTCCGGAAGTAACAAATATCAGAATATAAAGAACTAATGTTTAGCTTCAAATGCCGGGCATGGCTAACTCATTTAAACTGTCTCTGCCCTGCTAAAAAGTTCGCTTGTTTGCAAATCCTCTAAAGTTCAGAACTGGTAATTGTTCCGGTCATTAGATAGTAACCAACAGTTCTGGAGTATTAACGAAGCATACAAGTTACAGACCACTGTGTTTTCCGCCTAATTTCAGCTTCAATATTTTCGTAGTGTCCTCGGCAGGTCAAGAATTTAATAGAGCAGCATTGGTTTGACTGTTTCCATTGCAGAATAATGCCATATTACTTCAACGTAGAATTTTTAGTACATGTAATGCGTAAAGTTCTTTATGACTTGACGAATGTGTGCTGCGGTTATCATACTTCGTGTTGAAAATTACATTTGAAATTTAGTTTTAGGTTTACAAAACTTAAAGTCTGTTACGATTTAATCTTCTGTCAGATTGGAAGTTTGACCGGAAGCAATGTGTAAATGACTGAATTATTTCAGTTATTTGCATTGACGGATTACGATGAAATTCAGCTGAGAGGCTAGTTCAACAGCCAAAATATTTATTATGTATGGTATAGCGCTTTTGCGAGGTCTTATATATACTGACTGGAAAATTAATCAGAATATTTTTATCATTAATCATGAGTTTATAAGAAATATTAAAGTGTTTGGGTGCCAGGTTTAGTAGCTGAGATTCTTAGGAGCACATAAATAAGGATACTACATTGCAGGCTCCGGCAGGACGCAGTGCAGCCTGTGGACATCGCTGTCAGCCTGCTAATTGACAGGCAACTGACAGCAGGACGGAGGGAGCGCTTCCTGAACACAAGAGCAGCTTTGACGCATCAGCGGGAGGCAGACTGAGCTAATACCGGCTTGCCTCGAGGCAGGATAGACTGCCCGTCGTGCATGGAGGCATGAGAGTAAACATGTATTTTTTAAACTGTTCCATTTATTTAACTGACCGCATTTGTCATGCTAGCATTGTTTTAACCAAGCTACCAGCGTCAGGACAGATTTCCCGTCCTCCATGGAGGCATGACAGTAGCAAGATACGTAAAGGAGGAACTTTATGGTTATGTACAAGTGTTAAATCAAAGAAAATAATTGAACCTGTCAAGCAGAAATTTTTGTGATGATGGCCAATGTTGGAAAATTAAGGACTGAAAAATTGCATGAAAATTTTGGTATTGCGTGTTTTATCCTCGCAAATATAATAAAATGCACAAAAAAAGTTATTGCGTGGATTCTAAATATTGAGTTCCCGGCAAAAGAGAAATATTTCATCTCTCAGGAGAATAAGGATGATATTTTGATTGAATAATTTAATCACGATAAGTTTTCTGTTCCTTAAACCCAGACAGATATCACACTGGCCCATAAATTTAACTTCGCGTTTGGCATCAGCAAACTCTGAATTTCTCTAATTAAGTTCTCTTTCAACATCAATTTTTACAAAGACCTTTGAAATAAATTAATTTCCATCAGCGAAAAACAATAAGACTCGACCCTAGAATTTGTTATAAAAATGTCTAAATTGACACTGAATATTATTGTGCCATTATATCCGTAGAAAAAGTATTCATCTGAGTGGCATGTCCTGTTAGATTTCTTCAATGCAAAACAGAGGGAAGAACTTATAAAATCTTCCCCTTCACAATATCCAGGTTTTTACTACCACTGAAATGTCCGTATTGGAAACTCGACAGGAAAATTAGAATAAACTTATACGTGTTAATCAACAATGCTCTTTATTAGAAAAAATATGCTGAGTCACTCCAGGCAAGGAGACTTTTATAACAATAACGAGAACGCATTAGACTAATCCACACAGGAGGATTAAAAACTTGTTTCATGTTTTAATAAAGAATTGGGTCAGCTGAACAGTATCATACATAATTAAGTGCCAGACCATATTGCGAATTTTTCTTCTCCAATCTAATTTTCAAACTCAAACGATTAATAATTAGGTTGAGTGTTATGAATGCTATGAAGGCATGAATGTTAAATATAGTTAATAATTTCGCATTGTTTCTCAAGTTCCTCCTCGACATCGAATTTTGTCTCGCCTGATAACTCGGCTACCACAGATGATAAGAAGTATCGCTCTGTGTTTTTTTTGTGTAATTTCATCAAACATTAATCAGGCCCAGTAATTTTTTATGTGGCCTTTCCAAGATTAAAATCCATTTTAAAAATTCACAAACCAAGTCATGGCAATTCTTTTATAGATAACCATTTTGTTAAACAGAAATTAACTATAAAAAGCAGCGTCATAAAATCAATGCTATATGATGCTGCGTTTTTTGAACAAAACTTTTCAACTGAAAATCACAGCAATATGGTTTGTACTTTTTTCACATCTTATCGGATATTTCGAATGTCCCGAGCTGCTGGAGCATTTTTTTCAAGCATTATTGGCGCTCTTTGTCTTTATGCATATTGCAGCCTGCCGAGATTGATATTGCATTTTTGACATTACACAACCTATTTCGAAATTACATTACCTGAAATTTCTTTCGGCCACTCCTACTTAATACAGCACCACGACTGAACTTGACTATTTTTTACCCTAATTTAAGGGTAAATTAAGACAAGACTTACCCCTTTATTTTAAGCGTGTGAGGACGCGGTGGCCGCGGTGACGGTGTGAACTCGACGCGCCCTCTCAGGCCGCCGTCTTTGAGGTGATGTTTCTCCATAGGGAACATCGCTCGTCGCGTATCATAGCTACCGAGGACGGGAGGAACGATGAATAACATAACCTAAACAGAACATTATTTAATTTATTTATACAGAGCAAAAAATCCTATTGTTTTAGATTTAATTGTTGTATACTAATTATTTCCAGCGCTTGATTGCAATGACAGCTAATTCGACTGCATTTTTTTGACGTAAGATTGCTTTGTCTAAGTGACGAGACACGGCAGTCAAAAAATACTGAAAGAATATATATAATGAACAAAATATTTTTCGTGCTGCCATAGCAACACAACTTGGCTGAATGATTTATATGAACGCGCTAAGTTTCTGAAATTCTAGGCACGATTGATAATCAATCTAAAATATCTCTCCATGAGTCCTCAATGAACAAGTATTTGTCTATGCATTAGTATTTAGTAATAATCTAGTATTGAACACAAATATAAATTAATCTTTTGTATTGAGATTGCATGGAGTTTTGTAGGTCGGTCATTATTTCATTTCCCGCGGGGCTTGAGTTTTATCGTCAGTTCAGAGTTTCAATTGAGTTATTTTTTGAAGGTTTCATTAATACTTGGGGAGATTGTTGGATAATAAATTATACAAATTAATAGCTGTTCAAGTATTAATTTGTAATATAATGTGATAACTTTATATTATTTCTAAATTTTTTATCGTGTTACATCAATATAATACCGTACCATATGAAAAAATCAGTAAGCACGGTTGCTTTCTCCATTTCGAGTATTGATATCAAGCATATTCGGAAATTTAAATTTTTCTCTACTTTTCAAAGTTTAATTGAATGGCAACGAATCATTGCTAGCCCCCATGAAGTGAAGATTTTGATCCTTATCCCAGTATTTTAGCTTGATCTTTATATGCGCATTTTTATGTAAATAGATTGAATCATATTTCATGTAAAAAGAATCGTCATTCAAATGAAAATTTAAGTCATATTTTTATCGGTTGACGTTGGGCGCAACATTTGCTCACAATAATCTGAGATGAGTTTTTAGGCTCGCTAATCACTTGCAGAGCTCACGTGAACCAGTCCCAGGCCTCGAGATTATCAAGCTCGAGTTAAGAAAGAACACTTGCTCCAATTTTTCTTTGGCAAATCCTAATAGCCGTGGGAGCTCTAAAGGCGTAAATGGACCTCGTTAAACTCATGTTTCTGAACTTGAACGGCACCCCACACAACTTGGGATAAAATTTAATTTTACAGCAGAAGCACACGGTCAGACTGTGGAATGTGCCAAATTGTAAGAAATTTTCCGGTTAACAAATAAAGTAGAATATCTTGAGAAATTTTTTTGCTTGAGACTCGAAACCTTTGGTCCACGGGCCATATTGTGCGTTTGCGGTCATTATTTTTTTAACTTTGAAAATGCCACTTTATTGTCACGGAAAAAAATTCTGTTTAATTTTAGGTCTTTAAATTTATGACATAATTTGTGATTTGGTATACTATTTTTCGGGAGAAATGATTCGCACTTTACATGTATTACCTTATCAACTTTCAATCACACATCTCTTCCCATGTGTTTAACAAAAAGCACGTGTACCGATCCGTCGTTATAATCCTTACTAAACAATATTATTATAATTAATTATAATATACGATATTATTCCCACTGAATATTCAATTCCCTTAAAAATAACCCGTAGATATGAGCCACCCTCCATGACCCAATTAACACGTGCCCAGCCTATTAACTCGGTGTGAAATGCAGACGAGCTTCACGGCTCAGCCCTGCACCAGCGGGCCAGTCCCAAGCTAGCTGCTTATAATCAACGCGCTTGGCGGCAATTAAGGAAGCCTGTAGAGCTGGGAACGACTGCATTCCAATTACCATACGAGGAAATGGCTAGTAAAAACTCCAGGCAATATTTGTACAGGTAATCAAATGCCGGGATTAATAATAAAGGATTCATTTTAAGAGAAAAATTAAGTTAGCATTGCTGTGTTTTAGTTCAATGGAGAAGTTGTACTTATCTGTCTCTTACCTGTATATGGGCACTTCGTTGTTATCCTTGTACCAGAGGATGAGGTTGACTTTGTCCTTGGCATCGTTGGGGAAGACTCCACAAGGCACGTCCACGTCCCCACCCACAACTCCCTCCACCCTCACCATGGGTCCTGCTGTGAGGAAGAGAAAGGATATTAAACCTCCTACAGGATCACCAGAGTTCAGGTCCTGGACACAAGGCGGGCGCTGGGCGGTCTGTGTAGGAGGAAATTATGTGAATATCCGGCGTCTTGGGGTAGAGGAAAACAGGCGTGATTTGTTGTATGACATTAATATTCCATTTTATCTTCAGGTTAGTGGCGAGCAGAGCAGATTGGTTTAATAAGATTATACTTACTTTTATCTGCATGTTAGTGGTGAGCTAAGCAGTGCTTAGAAGTTGAACTAGACCCAGTTTACTCGAGCGGATTAAATTACCGTATATAGGGTAAATTAAATTAATTACTTGAGTTTGAAGAAAATTTGAAACTTCTATGAGTATTTCAACTCGAAAATCAATTATCCTTGAAACTTTGCTTTTTTTACTATCGTTCACGTCAAAGAACATAAAACCTCCTACCATGTTTTACAACAGAAATTAGAATCAGATCTTTTATATAATTAGATTTTGTGATGAAACTAGTCGTGTTTTCATGCAGCGTCCTACAGAGCACAAGCTCCCTTCAATTAAAAGACACTGCTATTAAGTTTATATAAAAGATGCTGGAACGCCTGTGCTCTCACTACAGCACGAATTTAAACAAAATATCGACGAGAAAGTTCTAAAAGTCCTGTCATGTTAGGCGAATAAAAGTGCAATTACCGTGAGCGCAACTTGCTCTGGTAAATCCATGAGCGCTGAAAGCATTTTGCCGGACGACTAATGGTCGCTCAGGCTCAGGCAGTCAGTGGTCCGCTTTGTTTCAGCTTTAGCTAAAGGCTGAAAAGAAGCGTAAGCCCAAAGACTACTTGTCACTATGTCGTCGTATCGACTAGCGTATTTCTTGCGTTGCCTCCCTCACGTTTGCAGACGCACCAAAAGATAAAAGCACCAAAAGATTGACATTAGCAGCTTAAAGAAACTAATTTCGGAGAAATAATAATTTTTACGGTTTTATGTTGCTCAAACAATGAAAATAAATTGAGTTGCACTGTGAATTTATTTAAACTCTTTGACCTAATGTTGATAAACTTGAATTGAATTACATATAAATATTATCCCAGAATCATATTTGTGTCATCAATTTTGTCTTTTTGGAAATTGATATATGATTACGAAGATGAATATCAATAGAGAGAAAAATTTTGCCACCATATTCAGGAAATTTTTTTGAAAAATTCTAACTGGAAATGCAAAGCTTTTGTCGGATACGTATTTTGATAAACGATGGCATCAATTTAAAGAGCTTACGCAACATTCATCACCTCATCGTACGGTACAAACAACAGAGCAGACAAAGACATTTTTAGCACAGGCTTACGTTTTTAGCAACGGCCAATAGAGTCGAGAGTTTGCAGAAGTTTATGGCGCCATAAGTGAGCGCAACTTCTTTGTTTGCGTTGAGGAAAGACAGCAGCCGCTGTTGTACGAGCAATTATTGCAATGCACGGCCATTTGTTGATCGTATCCTGCAGGCACGCAGACACGGCATGGCTCTAGCCATGTTCAAACGAAAATAAAACTTTAGGTTCAAGCGAATACCATGTCATAACATAACTAACGCTATGTTTATTGTTTGAATAAAACTTAGAGCAATGTTTCGGAAATTTTGTACAAATAATTACTTCCGGTAAGACATATTTCGAATAAAAATTTAAGCTCCTCTTCAATTTTAATCATGAAGAGTGAATTATTTAAAATTGTACAATATGTTCGATGAGCTCAATATCATTGAACAAATTTGCCTGCATTGTGCTCTACAAATCTTTTCTGATATCCTTTAGAAACATTTTTTTCTGACGTGACTCCAGCTGACGGGATTCCAGGAGTTTCCCAACCGTCTGTCGGGTCTTGTCACGGTGAAAAATTATGGTTGTATTTAAGGTGGCCACTGCATGGCTCATTGTCGGCCGACTAAGATACGGAGATTATTCATAGCTGGCTTCAGTCCACAGGGACATGGAGAAATAGATCCGATTATTGATGTAGCTGAGCATCTGAAGGGCTTAAGGGATCCTATATCCACGTTCAAAAAGCAACTCAAGAGTATCGGGACCTCGCTTTTAGTGCCATCAAGTGCTTACGAACGCAAATGCGGAAATAAATTCAAATGGCAGCTTAGGGCAGGGGGATAAGGGCTTAAGGATTTACGTAAACACGTTGCAGATCTCGCTAACTGGCTTTACGGGCTCGTTGTCGAGCCTTCTCTGAGGGAGAACTCGGCAGATTCTTACTGCCTAGATATTCATTTTTTTAGTAAATTAAGTCTGAGGTCTCCCCATATAAAAAATTCTCCTATGTTGCAAGTTTAGTTTGATTAGCCCTTAGGTTGATCAAGAACATATTTGTCTCGTCAGAAAGAAATTCTGATGGGATCACGAGCTGCTATTGGCTAATGGCTCCGTCTAAACCCGTTCTTCGTAAGGAGAGCTGGGTGAGCATTCGTTGTTGTTTCGCCCATGAGGATTAAAAGCCTGATATTAATAGTTTTCATACAACTGACCATGGTCATTCTTTTATAGAGTGCATCATGCATCCTTAACATTGGTATTGTGGAACCAATTAAAATATCTGCCGCCAAGTTTTGGCTGAACTCTCCTGCTGATGTTTTTGAACGAGAAAAAATTATCGTGTTGGCATTGCTCACCATGTTCATCAATGAGGTTGGCGGAAGTGATGTTCAGATGCCGAGGGAGATAAGTTTCAAAGTCATTTCGCAGTCTCTGCTTTATAAATATTGAATTTGATTAGCCGCAGATTGCGATATTTTCAGCTGTGGTGTGTCCGGATAACTGTTCTGAATATTTGAATCCAGAATATTTGATATATTTTGAATATTTGATTGCAACGTAATCGTTAATCCAAATTACTGTTGAAATTCCCAATCTTCCGGCACAGCAATAATGCAAAACAAATTTAAAATTCTATCTTTGATCATTGCGTCACGAATTTTAAACAATTTTTGTTTCGGGTAAAATACCCGAATCGCTTATATAATTAAATTACACAAAATTTTGCCACTTCTAATAGACTATGATGCGGCGGCGAAAGAATATTTTTAATTTCGATTAATGATCGACTTGAAAAATTAAATTTCTGGAGCCAGTAACGAATTCTTTGAGATTCTCTGGATTTTTCCTTTAGAAATAATTTACTCTGCCTCTTTTAACCCACTCGAAAAAATGACATATATAAAAAAATTATTTCACTCGAAATTTTTCTGACATAAATTTACAAACAGTGTAAAATTATTTGATTGTAATAAGCTACAATAAAAAATTACACAATGAAAATGAAACACAGAGAAAGCCTCCTTCCGCTAAAAGATGGTCACAAACTAACATGAAATTACTCCTGCTGGTGCGGCATTCAAAGTTGATGCGGTGCAAAGTCTCATGCTTTCTTATCGGAATATGAAAGCGTGATACGAGAGGAAAGAGCAACAGAAAGCATATTTTCAATGTCTGCTCATGTTTTCATATATAAAAATATAAACACAAATTTGGGGTTTGTTCCCACCAAAAAGTAACCAACACCTTCTAATTGATTAACCGTAGAATTGATTGTTTTAAGCTCATTTGGCATCAACGACTCTCTGCTTACGTAGGGCCTTTTTTCACTAGGAACTTCTTGTCAATAGGAATATTTTGTCAGCTTTTAATTAACATGCTATCATCATTTTTCATAATGAGAAATGCTGAATAACTATGATGAGAAATAATTAATATAATTATAATGAACTAAGTATAACAAAAATAATAAACATATAATAATTTAATAATGAGATATGATGAATTGCTATCATAACGAGTTCCCAAAGAATAATTATGATGAATATTGTTATTAGAATAACTGAATATAAGTTTTCAAGAAATTCCCCAAAAGAAGCTAGTAAAGAAGAGCGCCTACCTTCTGCCTCGCTGCCCTGCAGAGCTTCTTGGGCGCGAGCGACGTACAGGAGCAGCAGCAGCGCTCCAGCCAACGTGAGAGGTCCTCGCTCCATGACGTCATTGGGACACATACACGGTGTCTTGATAACGATTAAAAGTTTAACCTCAACATCCACATTTTTGTGGCACATACATGGTGTCTTGATAACGATTAAGAGTTTAACAAGCACATACACAGTGTCTTGATAACGATTAAAAGTTTAACAATCACATACACGGTGTCTTGTTACGAATAAAAGTTGAACAAGCACATACACGGTGTCTTGTTAACGATCAAAAGTTCAACAAGCACATACACGGTTCTTGAAAACGATTAAAAGTGTAATGTCTACAGCTACATTTTTGTGGCACATACACTGTGTCTTGATAAAGATTAAAAGTTTAACCTCCACATCAACATTTTTGTTGCACATACAAAGGGTCTTGTTAACGATCAGAAGTTAACATCTACATTAACTAAAATATTTGAGTACAGTAATCACAAACATCGTTGAATTTACTTATCATTTCGTATCCGTCACCGAAATAAGATTATTACTTTATTTCCTCTTCCATAATTCAGGATATAAGATTTAAAATATAGAGCAAAGTATTCACTTCAATTATTTTCAATTTAAATATCCAGGCATCACGTATGTTTGTTCACCTTTTGTTTATTTCGTGTTTTCACCATTGAGTGTAGCTCTACCATTCGTGTCGTTTACAACAAAATCTCCACAGCAACCGGAAAAATAACTTAACAGTTGCTTGTATTGAAATCATATTCAATTTCACTCCTATGTCCATCAGCAGTTCAATGTTTAATTGATGGCGTACTCATTCAAAACTCTGATGATAACTAGAAACTAGTCGCTCAATCGCTGCATTTATAGGGCACAACAGTAACACTTAACTCTATAGTGAGTTGCAGGTGTAACACTACCGCGCAGAACACAACACTTCCTCTATGATAAGTTGCAGGCATAAGACTTTAAGTTGTATGTAGAGTACAACACTTTTCTCTATATTAAGTTGCACGTGGAAGACTTGACCGAACATGGAACTATCAAACGTAACTACGCCAGCACATCGAGAGACACTCCTTTAACAACTACGGGGATTGACCCTGAAAAATTTTAAAATAATCATTATTTTGTTAGTTTTTACTAATTCACATATTTTAATCTGCTAATGATCCTCATAATAACATTTAAATGAAATAAAAACGGTGAACTTTAAAAATTATGTTTGTTATGTGTGGATTATTTAGTAAAGACAATAAAAAAGATTGATAGAATTAACGGTTGAGAATATCTGCAGATATTTGTACTTAAAATGAAATAATTTCGTCCACTGGATGCAAAACGTATTTATATATTTAAATTTTTAATCTTTCACACCTTCGTCTTCAATAATTTCTATTTGAAAACTTGAAATATCACCTATGGAATAAACGCAAGACATAATGTTAACACAATTATCTTCCAATAACCACTTGCTGCTTGAGCTTCTTTTCACGATACTAATTCACAAACTGGACTGCGTTGTAAATGCGGTGTAATTATTTAGAGCTCATGAACATAATTATGTAGCCTTCTTACGGAAGGCTACAATAATAAATAATTTGTATGGTTCTAAATAATTTTAAATAAGTCCTAAATAATTTGTATTGTTCACTTTACACTTAACTCCACCCGCGAAATATTGAATATAATTTAAGGCTGAGCTGACGTTAAAGAGGCAAGCTGCAATGCAGCTTGGTTCCCGTCACGGTGAGATAATTTATTTTTTCTCTTTAATTTTATAAATCTTGATCCATTTCAGCTCTGGTCGTCGTCGGAGGGCACTAATCTGCACAGGAGAAAACATTCATTGTAATAATTACATTTTAATGGGGTAGAATTTAAATTTAAATGTATTCTGTGGTTCAATTTGTTTGGAAATTGTGGTTTTAAAGCCGAATATGAGCATAACTTTTACAATAAGTTGCATTTGGAACAAACATTTAATTACATGCATTACAGTAGAATTGTAGTTATTAATCTCCTATCACATATGAAAGGCTAATCAACCGATTTATTTGATTAGACATGAATTCTTTGAACATTCATTCAAAACCAAACATCACAACGACCGTCAATCATCACATTGTTCTGTTTTATGTGTAAACGTCCTCATAACCACACAGAGATGCAAAAGTAAACATTGGTAGCTCATCATACAAGCGATCATCAAATTGCCTCGCATTTATTCATGCAGTATGGATAGCAGCGCCATATTGTCAGGGTATATAACAGTTTGCTGAGCCAGCAGGCCTTGTTCAGCTGGCTCGTGATGCGTCGCCGCAAATGTGTTGCATGTTAATGCTTTTCCCTGTGATTTCGATGAAGTGTAAAGATAGAAAAGTATAGAGTTCAATTTATATCCGTTTTTTTATTCAATTTTTGATAAAATTATTGGCAATTTGGAGGTTGCAAATTTCAAGGAAAGATATAAATTTGAAACCAGTTTTCTAATCAAGAACTAGTTTTTAATTTCTAAATAGAAATATTCTCAACAATAAAATCACGATGCAGTCTTATTAAGAACGAATAAATCCTGACTAGCTTCAACAACAAAGGCACTGGATCAAAGTTACCCTAAATAATGGGGGAAATTTTACGCAGCTTCAGGAGTATGAAACGCACGCGACTAAATTCATTAGAAAGTTCTAAGCGATGAGTCATCTGGCGAATATCTGACAAGATGAAAGTTTAGCTTTTTTTGAGGTTCGCCTCCGACTTCGCTTCACTGGCAGTGGCCGTACGAGGTAAATGTCCGCTCCACGAAGTCCGCGAATAATTAAAAACACGCAGAAGTTTACCGTCGCAGAAGTTTGCCGTCTCCTAAGTTTCGGAGGCTACTGTGTCAAGCCTGAAGTGAGCGCCAAGCTCTGCTTTATGCTGGCTTTTGTTCGCCCAAAAATGAGCATTTTATTGAATGTTAAATAAACCACATCTTGAATGAGAATATAATAGGAACGCGTCACCCATGCGTAGCAAAACTGAATTCGTCATGTTTAAAACGAACACAGTTGTGATCTAAATAGGATGACAAATAACGAATTTAATCGATATGTGCAATGTCTTCCGTGGGAACAAAGATTCCCATCCTCGTTACCGACGCCCCTGGGATGATTAACGGGCAGTTTGCTCGGTAAACATGGCGACGAAAACTCCATCCGGCGACAAAAATTCTGCCGCGGCAAACGTGTGTCCTAAACTTAGGGAGATAGGAAGATTTTTTCTGAAACATTTTATCACAGATATTAGTGCCAGACGAATTCGCTACAATAACCCACTCCACTTTCCTTGCAGTATTACAACTTTCTTAAATTCAATTAAAGCCAACTTTAAAACTTGCTTCTGCATTCAAACATCTCTGAATGCCAGAACTAAAATTTTCTAGCTTCTCAAAGGATTTCAATCAGCAGAAACGGTTTGCGAAAAGTCTTGGGAAGACACAGGCGTACAAAAAGTGGAATTAATTTAAAAGGAGGAGTAAAATAGCACTTTTGCGGAGGTCCAGAATTAAAACTAAATTTTATTCTAATTTTGAATAATGCGTTCTGATAGCTATGATTATTTCAACAAAGCGTTCTAATAGCTAGGAGTATTTCAACAGAGCGTTGCGATAGCTAGGAGCATTTCAACAAAGCGTTATGATAGCTAGGAGCATTTCAACAAAGCGTTATGATAGCTATTCAACATTTCTACAGCAGCAACGAAACCGTCGGCTTCCTAAGAATGGCTGCATGTTTTATTCCAGCATTTGCTGCAGGTTGCGAGTGTTGTTATGGCACGCAGATGAATGCAAGGCTGGGTATTAGATGCTGTAACACGAAGATACGTGGTGCATAATATGACCTCTTCTCTGGTGTTACAGACGTACAATATCGTGAGCGCTGAGCGCACTTCTGAAAAAAAAATATTTACAACAAATTTCTTTTTTTATAGATTTGCAACAAACGTACGGTATTTATAAGTCTGTATCCATAAATTTGTACATTTGTACAAACGTACAAATATTTGTACAAATGTACGGTAGATGTACGGTAACAAATATATAATTTTAATTTTCGAATCATAGCAAACAAAATTATTGTAAGTGATTTTTTAGGAAATTACCGCATTTTTTCAATATTTCAGCAAACGCCCATTTAGAAATATATATCTATATGTATTTAGGAATAAGCAAGCTGCTTAAATTTCTGCAGCCGTAGTTTGTCTGTGCAACTCTCAAATAATTTTAAAGACTTGTGTTGCCAGTTAACGTCCAAAAGAATTTTCAAAGCCCCATTTTTTCTTTGCTGCAGCGATAAACGCTGGTCCGGGGAGGGAGGCTGCCGGCTACACGTCGCATCAAGCATTTAAGCAAGCATCGCTTCATTGAACTCAATTTCATCTGATAACTTCCGACTCATGTGCGAGCTCTTCTTTGGAACGGCCAAGCCCTTGGCGATGTCTTTATGAACGCTCTTCGCAACGCTTCACTTGCCCTGGCGACTCACCGACACAAACGGCTGCAGTAAACTCTCCCGATCACTTTCCTGTCCGGAAAAATGTTCATTTATATTTTTGAAAATATTGTATGATGGACTCATTTAAGAGTTTGGTCGGTTGTAATGCGAAAAACATTGAATGTTTTCGATGCAAGAATTTCTATTTGCGAAAAATTACAATGTTGCTGTTTTTGCAACATTGCAAGCTTTTGCAATGCAATCTTTTATCATCAAATTGCATAATGCATATTTACGCCCTGAATGGATATGAGCCCCGAATAGAATTCATCATAACTTTACTTCTGCAAGAAAAACAATCATTTTTGGGAAACTAGAGCATCAATATCTGGTGAAATTATTGGCTGGCATTCCGTGCGAATGCTCTCCATATCTAATCGAAAAATGCGACGTCTCCAAAGCCTAGCACCTCCACATTGTCCTGACCGACTTAAGAGTTAAGTCAGAAAATTCTGCTCCTGATCGTCGCTGATGATTTGGGTTGGGGCTCTCAATAAAGCTCGATCAATTGGCCGGTTGAGCCACAGATAATGGCAAAGTCTTGAAAATGTGAACGGAGACTTTAATAACTTCAACGTCTGCTTATGAGCTCAACTTCTTCAAAAATTCTTCGGTGGATTGAGCAACGCGCAAATATAAAAGGAACTCCTGAACTGTGAGATCAGCGGCCAAGAGAAGATAAAAAATAACGGGCTTGCGACGGCCCAGGAAAATGATAAATTTAAAATTAAAATTGGGTTTAATGTCTTTATCAAACTAGTTAACTTCCAAAAACCAATCTAAAGCTGTAGATGAAGCCTTTTATTTAGCTCAAGTGCCTATTTATTAGTAATCTAGTACTAAAAATTGTACTATGACGATAAAATTCGCGAAAAAGGAACAATGAGCTTCGAGGTTTGTTCCAAAAATTTATTAATTTTTAGTGGAAGTCATCCTCTCTAAATGATGTTGAGTTCGACTGTCGTAGAAATATTTTTTTAGACGTTGACACAGTCTAAACACGGATCCACAAATCCACGCCCAGCGTTTGGCTGATTTCTTATTTCTAGTCACATACGACCAGAGTCAACTGCATTTCTATATTTCCACTCACACACGACCAGTGTCAACTGCATTTCTTATTTCCACTCACATACAACCAGAGTCAACTGCATGTCTATATTTCTACTCACATACGACCAGAGTCAACTGCATTTCTCATTTCCACGCACATACGGCCAGAGTCAACTGCATGTCTATATTTCCACTCACACACGACCAGTGTCAACTGCATTTCTTATTTCCACGCACATACACATTCAACCCATGCTTTCCCCCACGGCATTCAACCCATGCTTTCCCCCACGGCATTCAACCCCCGCTCTTTTGCGTACTTTCATCGTGAAGCGCAAAAGGTAAGCTTTGCGGTGCGGAAGTCGCTCTCCTGAATAGGTCTGCACTTGACTTTTGATGAGCGCACACAGCAAGATGAAGGAATAGAACTTTTGAATAGAACTTAAACAGAACATTTTTTAACCACGTTATCTATGTCGAGTCAGTTAACTTGTTTTCTGTTACCAGAATCATGTAC